ATAAGGGGGCGCTCAAAGAGTGTCGATATGCCGTTCCGACCGAGAACGATCGTGAAACCAATTGTGGTAAGGTCATTTCGTGTCTGCTCCGCTCGGCGAGCAAGGGAAGCCCTGCATTCACATATAGAGCGTGGTGAGTCGGCGAGTATATCAGAAACCGTGTACTTCGAAAGCTGATCGGTGTTTGAAAGTCTAGTTTGACAAGGTTGCTTTGGCGCCGTTGCCTCTAACAAACTGACGTACCGTCGAAAAGATGATACAGGATCGCCTGGCGCAATGTGCTAGCCATGAAAAAGTAACAATTGCTCTTGTGGTGAGTCTAACGCTTGGTCGCTGGCTGACACTGATATGATCGGTGCAGCAAAAGATGATGCGATTTGTTTACTTCAGGCGGAGATGCTAGAATCTCCGGACCTGACTGAGCTAGACATCATCGTGAGATCCGTTGTGGATGTGGCAACAGTAACCGCTATGGCAACAGAGATCGAGACTTTACACTCGAACAAAAATTAGGGGTGGCTGCAGCGTTCGCTTGCCTACATTTAAATTGACTCGCCGTATGTCTTTGATATATATTAGCATTACAGAATCGGGTAGTCATCTCGACCGTTCTCATCAGAGCCCACCTCGGCCTCATACACTCGTAAATTCGCATTTTATCAACAATTTCGTCAAGAAGTCACGACATATGAATGCCTCTGTCTTCCAATCGCTCCTGGCAATAAATGTCACGAAAACTTTAATCATTCCCATATCCTGCGTCAAAGTTACTATAACTTTATAATTTGACGTCATAAAAAGTAGCCATGTATCATAAGAGCTACAACGGAAGAGAACTTAGGTCTGATTCAATCTAATCATCTTCCGTTTGATCCAGGTCTCACATCATCACAGCCTGGTCATACCTATGATGCAGCTCTAGGTCTACAAACAGAGTGCTTTGCGCTGTTATTATTACAGAAGAGTCGAAGGGGCAAAATAGCTTTCTCGAACCAAATGAACCACAACGATATATACCTTCTCTACTGATTTTGACAATCGTCCGTCGAATGTTATTGCACGACGCCAATAAAATTCTTGGATCTTTAGACGGTGTCAAAAAGTTGAAGACGCTCATGTTACGAGCAAACAATTTTTAATGGCGAGCCACATCTTGTATAAGGCGTTACCTGTCCGACCTTCTTCCTCTATGAAAACAAGTTACCTCAGATTTCTAGCTGGCGCAGGGTTTGCTAAGGCTTGTTCTCTGCGAGCTGTCTGCTGTTCAGCTTTACGTGGTGGCTGGACGCTTAGTGCCTTCAAAAAAATGAAGAATGCTCATAGGATACGAATTTTAGTACTCCAAAAATCTAAGATCTACAACCACACAGCGTTGACCAGCAGATCATATAAAACTATGTACACACCTCTTTTTCCCCCCGTAATATCTAAAATTTACCACCACTTAAACGGTGACAAAGACTCCCCCCGGCTTGAAAGCTGTGACCCAAAATCAGTGTATCACTCGCCGCTTCATCAACAGATTGGACAAGAGTTGGTGCAAGCCGCAACTATACGTACATTGTTTATAACAACAAGTCGTAGCCGTTTCCGAGGAAGAACCTACCGCCATTTCGGATGCTAAAAAGCTCTCGGATCTTGGACACTCTTTATTCTTCATTTCGTTGACGGATAGGTAAGACTTCACTACTTTACCGCACTCATGATAAGGCGGTGCGAATACCCGCGACATGAAAAATTCTAAGAGAGCAAAGACATCGCGTCAACAAACGTATATGACTCGGAAACGAAATGTCTTGTTAGCTATGCATTTATGCGGTGTACACATATATGTACTATATGTATGATATCGTAGTTGTAAAACTAATATGTATGTGCGATTGCAATATATATAATACTAAAACTCTATTTACATTCTGACATGCGGCTTGCAGTCCACGAGTATCACAGATTTCATCTCATAATAATAAACTTGTCGGTAGTCATAAATATTCACAATTGCATCAAAAATTATGCAGTATTGAATTTCGTGCCATTAAACTCAAAGTGTTAGGTCTAATTAAGCAAAATTTATGTAATATTTCGTGGCAAGCTTATCCTGTTTGTCGTGCGGTTTGCCATGCCAATAGTCTGAGTAATGAAATCTTCCAGTATGCGCTTAGAGCGTTCTTGACAGCATGACAAAGACAGAGCACCGAAGATGTATGTATTTACGTTGTACTAGGACGCGAATAAAGTGCGAGAAGTTTGAAAGCTTTGATAATATCATACCGGCGTTGTTGGATTTGGTGTGTTCAAATGTTTGTTCATTTGTTTGTCGAAATTAGTTATAGATAACAGCCGTAACTTCTTTGTTACGAATGAGCTTGGCAAAAGTTGTCCTGCCTTATGATAGGAATTTTAGCACAGTCTGCTTTCGTTAGAAGGAGCCACCATATTAGAGCAAATTTTATATAAGAACCAAATCACGCATAGAAAAAAGTATATCATATAAAATCAAGTAAAACAAAACTGCTGGACGATATACGAGGCAGGAACATGTATCAAAAATTCAGGTCACTTTATTCGCATAATGGTGCGCACAATCCTGACGAGCGGGCCGTCTACGTGAAGGAAAATCCTCATCGCCGTCACCAGAACTTAGCTTCTTAGGTACAATCCGAGTTCGGCAAGACCATTGGTCATTCGACGGTTATCCGCGTCGTCTCGGTGCCACCCCAGCCCTACTGAACATGAACACGAGACGCCAGCGTCTACTCCGATTCTCACACATGGAGCTGCTCTTGCTGGATTTTGCGCATTGCAGCTGCACCAAGCCTTGCGGCTTTAAGCGATTTTGTTCTCTGGGAGAATGAGCAATACCATTTGCAATACGTCTCGCACTCGTAGGTGCAGAAGTTTAAGCGCCGTGACAGCATCCGTTAGCGCACTGTACAAGGCGAATCCAGGTCAGTGGATCTCGCTACAAGCGCCGCAAATTATAGACCCTCATAGAGGACTATGAACCACTGGATCATCCGAATGTTGATGAGACCAGCCTCTTCTTTTGCACTCTGCCCAGCCTGTAGCAAGATCCGTGGCACCAAGAAGAACAAGGCGAATATTACTCTTGATCTGTGCTACAATATGGCAGGTACCGAGAAGATGGTCCCTGTCGTCATCCACAGCAGCAAGAAGCCTCGCTGTGCCCGGGAGTGACCAGAGAGCACGTTGGTATCCAGTTCAACGCGAAGTAGGTGTCATGGATGATGCACATTGTCTTCTCGATATGGCTCCAACGCCTCAATTCCAAGATGCACAACCATGAAATGCTGCTGCTGGTGGACAATGCGTCCTGCCACGATAGCAACGAGCTCGCCAATGTCCGTGGTTGCTTTTCCCGCCGAACACGACATCTTTCTTGCAGCCACTTGACGCTGGAAGTTCTGACAGTGATCAAGTTTTCCGTTGATGCGTGGGCTGATGTACCATAAGGAACTGTTAGTGCCATTCAGGCATCGTGCCAACACCCTTGGCTACTCTGGTCATTTCAGTTAACCACTGCGTAATACCGACGATCTTCCCGAGCTCAGCGCTCTCATTCGCCATCTTAACCTCGCCGACCGGCTCGATGCCAACACCTACATCAATATTGAAGACAACTTCCATGGAGCCACTGTTAACACCATTCGCAGGTCAGTGATGTAAAGGGTGATGTTAGGAAGATGGAGAAGATGAACCGGCCTTTTTCCACCGCGAGCCTCTATGCGCGTGCCAACACCTCGCAGTCTCCGTTTCGCGCATGACCAGAGTGGGCACGATATCACTGTGGTTCTTGGTCACGTGAGAGCTATAGACGGGATTAAAGCAGCCAAAGATCCCGGCATTCTTCACAGCAAAGAGTATTCCATAGCTAATACTTGAATATTTTATCCCTCTTGCAATTTTTGTGAAGTCATTTGCAAAAATCATGATTTCGTCTAAAATATTTGCGTGAAGTTGAAGTTCAGGATATTACGTATAAAATTTTGTAATTATGTTTAAGAGAATCAGACAACTTTACTATTGCCATAATGAGCACGGCGAAAGAATCATGGAATAAATTGTGATAGCATGAAAAGGTCCTACGTGCTTTAGTCTTCGTGGAGCTGTACCATAAGCAATTTTTTTTTCATGGCGTGAAAACGCAGTAGCATCCTGGAACAAAAGTGGTATTAGCTTTAAACATGTCTGCTCTGCTTTCCTGCTCCACGTACCAATAGATGGTAAAAGTGAGCGCGCTAATCCACCAATTGCGCTCAGAACGCCAGCGCGAAGCCTTTTTCTGCAGATCCGCAGAGTAGTGTGCCTCAATGTGCGGGTCGCTAGTAAGAGAGTAGCGCTTTTGGAGGTCGTATGTTTGCGCTCCAAGCACTACGAAGGATACGAAAGTGATCACAGAAAAGATACTGAGTGTGCCGATCCGAATGTTAAAAATGAGATCGCCAAGCATGACAATGCCACGGTTAAGCATGCGTCCAGGAAAGGGAATTGTCATCAATAGCAACCTAGTAAGCACATCTTAGTATTTAAACGACAACAAAGAAAATGTCAGGAAAAAAGACGTACAAGACCACTGCAGGTGGCAACAAGACATAAGTAAAAGACGACCACATGGACGTCATGGTGATGGCAGAAGTTGGACTATGTGTGGGGAGAATTTGACCCGACTCAAGTATGCTAAAAGGGGGTAATCAAGCAGTAAGTATGCAAAAGCAAAGGATCATTTTACTGGACTTAGCATCAAATAGTTAAGGTGTCAAGTTTGGGACGAGGCCTTCTTCCATCATGCAGAGTCACAACATAGCAGTGACTTATTGCAATGGATGTCGGGGGTGCAGACACTGTACGAGACGTGCTGCGTGTAGAGCGTCTTTCTTACATCGGCTCGAATGTCTCAAGCCATGATGACGAGGACAATTTTACTGAAAGTACTCAATTTCGAAAAATCGAAAAGGATGAAAACGGAGGAACGCAACTTCGATCCGGTGACGCTCCAAACTTGTACCACTGGCGCCACATTGGTTTGTTAGTGCAGTATGCAGCTGTGGGCTTGTTATACGGCGGACTACCGCGCACTGTATATCCATTTCTGAATAATTATTTGCGTATGAACGGCTACCAGACGCTCTCAGCACGCGTGCTGCTTTCTCTACCATGGTCATTTAAAGTCCTCATTGGCATTGTTTCCGACTGTTTTCCTATCTTTCACTCGCGTCGTCGTGCATACATGGTCTTGGGATGGATCATTTGCTCGAGCATGTTGCTCATACTCGTGTTTGTCGATCAAGAGCCACCGTACTACTTGGACTCGTCATTGCGAGGTAAAGATTTGTCAAAGATATCTCCAGCTGAACTTCAAGGTCGAGTGAATGTCCATGCACCAAGCTCAGGATCGTTTTATATTGTGTTTATGATGTTAGCCAGTGTGGGATATATGATTGCTGATGTTGCGTCTGATGGACTTGTGGTGGAGTTTGCCCAACAGGAACCTGAAAATATACGCGGGAACATTCAGTCGACTGTCTACCTTGTGCGTAGCGTTCTGATGATCCTGGCAGCATTGCTGGTCGGATTCGGTCTGAATGGCAAAGATTATGGAGGTTCATTCACGTGGTCACTTACGATAAGCCAACTGATGTTAATATTCTCGTTACTGAGCTTGGTGGCGATTCCTGCAGCACTCTGGTTCGTTCAAGAACCAGTGTTTGGTGACCGTGTACCGCAATTTAGTAAATACATGCACAGTTTATGGATGTCAATTCAAAATTCGGCCATGGTACAGATTTTGGCCTACCGATTTTTCAGCGGCATATTTGATGGTTTCACAGTCACAGCAGGTGATCCTATTCAAAGGTACTGGGCAAGCGTCCACCCACTCAACGAGAGCTTATTTTCTGTGCTTGGACTTGTCGTGTTTAGTGCCGCTTTGTATGTGACAAAAAGAATTGGTTTAGGTTGGAGCTGGCACCGCGTGATTTCATGGACAACTGTGTCAGTGATTGTTCTGGACGCCATTGTGGGAATGCTGACGATCTGGGGCGTTGTGCGCAGCCAGTGGTTTTGGCTTGGTACACCGATCCTGGAGGAGCTTCCACAAGCTATGAATTTTCTTGTGTCAACCTTTGTAGTCGTGGAGCTGGCAGATCTCGGTAATGAAGCTGCTGTTTATGGTCTTATGACGACGGTGAGTAACCTCTCCAGTCCGTTTGCTTCGTGCATTTCGAAGAATGTCAATGCGCTTTTTGACGTTGGCGTTGCTGATATCATCCGAGACTCTCAACATGTGCGCTTGCAAGTCACCTGGACGTTTGTGATTGCGTACATCATGAAGTTATTGTCACTATTGTGGCTGCCATTGCTTCCACGACAAAAGAGAGAAACCCAAGCTCTCAAGCAACGATCCCGACAATGTTTTTGGGGTGGTATTGCCATTATTGTTATATTTGTCTTTGCTCTTGTTTGGTCCATTACCACAAATCTTCTTTCAGTCTTTCCCAAAACCGCATGCCGTATCATTGCAGGTGGCCCTGGATGTAACAAGTAATTGACAATGTTAGTTAAGTCAAATAAAGTCATTTGTATGCGCCAATCAGTGGCCGCAATCGCACACACCATCAAAACTATTCATAAATACTTCGTCGCACTATGCTGCGTATCCTGCCCTCTTTCGCCACTCATGCTGCACAAAAGTCGCTGCGACAGCATCCAAAACTGATGCATCGTTACCCAATTGTCCTTACCCGTAATTTCAGGTCCACACGCTCTCGATTGAATGCCGAAAAGGTTACACTTTATGAAGATGAAAGGGTAAGCTTTGGCGATCAGCTTACTTGCCATTGATGCAACAGATAACAGATCAGGCCACAAAAGAAGGACAGAAAGCTGCAGATGCTTTGGTTCTTACGCCTTACGAAAAGGTAACGGCTACAGCCACTGGTGGCTTTTGGCTTGGACTCCTAGGTCTGGGTGCCGTCGGTGTCTACTTTGTCGCTCGTGAGCTGCTGCCCAAGTACTTTGACATTCAGAGTTTATAATGTTTCTACTATCTAAAATTCTTTTACTTGTTGTGCAGCCGCATGAGCCCTAATGGTCTCTTCAGCGAATCGCTGGAATTCCTCTCGGAAAATACGGATGTAAGTGCTGTGAAATTGAAACTTGTGTCTATTAATCACACAGTTATTGTTTCTTGTCCAGGTGACGTCGCGACTTGGTTTGCCAATTCACGGTTATGGTCACGACCACGGTGGTCATCGTGAAGGTCGTCGTAATCGTATTGAACACGTAAATCTCACTGCTAAGGACGGCACACCGCGTCTTCGTATCAAGTATAACATAAAGGGTCCTTCAGGCCATGCCTACGTGTTTGCAGAGGTGAATAAGAATATGAAGAAGAACGAGTATGTGTACCTCATTGTACAAGTGACCAAAACTGGCGAATTGCTCAAGATTATCGACAATCGACAAATTCTTGAAGCCGAAACTAAAGAGGAGCAAGATGCTCTCCGCCAACTGCTCGGTAAATAGGCAATTGATACTATTATGGTGAGTTTTTAAGCCATTATAGACCCAGGTAGACTCAATTGCACTTGAAATGAAGAAATTTATTTCGTGCTTGGAAATAGTATTCATCAAACTTAAGCCTATCAATTACAGATAGTATCATGTGATTGAGATGAGTGCCATGAAATGAATTATTTCGCGACAGTTTTATAATCCATACTGCGGGTAATATTATAATTTGAATCAAATAGTTTGACTAGCATGATTTTTTTTTGTGAAGTGTCAACAAGCCGGTGCACAAAATGACGATAAAGTATGTCAACTGAGATGAGAAGATGATTACAAAGGATTCGACCCTTCAGAATTTGAGTGATTCATTTTGTCTTTGAATCCTTCTTACCAAAATGAATCATGCCACTAAGGTTAACAGCCGTTTGCAGCGACTGCAACATTGGAGATACATTAGACTCCTTGGAGGCGTGTGTCTTTTGATGCTCTTCCTTTGGGTGCAGTATTCGATCTTAACTACTGATATAAGTAGCAATCCAGTTGACTTACACAGCACTACAAAATCGGACCATCTGAGAGGCAATGACCATCTTGGACAGCGTTACAAGGTGGATATTGCTACAAACGACTCAACACGAGGGACAGCGGCATGGGAAGAGCTCGATAAAGCCATTGGGATGCTGGCGGACGTTGAAGAACCCGACAAAGATGTCGCTGCAGCTCCTTCTGCAATGCAAGAGAACAGGCGCTTGGCTGTGCGCAAGGCAATGCAGTTTGCATGGGGAAATTACGAGGAACACGCATTTGGTGGTGATGAATTGTATCCAAAACGCGGCTCGAATCATAGCCAAGTCTGGGGTGATATTGCCTGCACTTTAGTAGACAGCATTGATACGCTCTGGATCATGGACCTTAAAGATGAATTTCAACGTGCTAGAGATTACGTGGCCAATCATTTAGATTTTTCACACTTAGGTCGTGATGAAAACACAGTTTCGGTATTTGAGACCATCATTCGCGAAGTGGGTGGCCTTTTAGGCGCATTCGACCTCTCTGGAGATATTATTTTCAAGGAGAAAGCTGTAGAGCTTATGGATCGTCTCACACCTGCATATAATGAGAAGGAGGGTGTTTTTTATACATTATATAATCCATTTACGAAAGCCAAGAGCTTTAATCACTTTGCTGCATACCGGTAAGAAATGTTTACTTATATTCTAAAGCTGTTATTGTCAATTTGCTTATGCTTTACATGTGTAGAGCTCATATCGCAGATGTCGGCACACTTCAGCTTGAGACTCGGTATCTGTCTGATATCACTGGAGACTCAAAATACGCTCAAATGGTGTGTTAATGAAGAAGAGCTTTATCTACATAAAAGTCTGACGATCACTTACATATTCATCAGGGTGATGCGTTTTACCACATCGTGAAACGTGAAGGATCACATAAGAAAACAGGCTTATTTCCCGTGCACTTTGATTCTGTTTCCGGAAAGTTCGATGCACAACATAGCAAACTCACTCTTGGTGCACTTGGTGACTCGTTCTACGAATATTTGCTGAAAGTTTACATTTATAGCGCCAAGCGTGATGAGGACAAGTATTTACGCGAGCTGTACGATGATGCAGTGAGAGGAATTGAAGAGTTTTTGCTTTTTTTCTCTATACCCGATGATCTCTACTTTCTGCAAGATCTGAATCTACCCTCATTATCGGTACTTTATATGGCAAAAAAATACATTCATGGCTTATGCTGACATTTTGCTAATCGTGACTGCAGGCCGTTCGAAGCATGGATCATTTGACATGTTTTGTTCCAGGAATGTTGGCTTTAGGAACGTTGTTTGAGACTGACGATCATGTGAAAAATGCCAAACACCTCGAACTTGCAGAAAAGCTTATGGAGACTTGCTATCAACTATATCGACGTCAGCGAACGAAACTCTCGCCGGATATTGTGAGTTTTCCAAATATGCAAGCAACTGATCAAAAGCATCGTCTTCGACCAGAGACTATCGAGAGTCTCTTTTACTTGTATCGTGCTACAAAAAATCCGAAATATCGTGAGTTTGGCTGGAACATCTTTCAGGCTCTCGAGACACATGCAAAGGTCAAGCACGGTTATGCTGCCATTCTGGATGTTACGGAGATTCCTGCTCAAACGGAAGATAAGATGGAGAGTTTTTTTTTAGCCGAGACGCTTAAGTATCACTATTTACTTCAAGCACCCGAAAGTCTCATTCCACTGGACGAGTATGTGTTTAATACTGAGGCACACCCTCTACGTATCCGCAAGAAAAAGTTAAATTAGTACTTGTATTAATACAGAGCGTTTTAAGATGAGCTTAATATTAAGTGAATAGTAATACTGCATATAGCTTCAACCGCAGATCATGGTGAAAGGGACGCGCGCTAAGGAATTACATCCGCATTTGCGTCGCCGACTATCGGAAACAGGAAGACAATTGCTGCGTGATGCACTGGCTGAAGACAGTGATGCTAGAGATGATGATTCTATAGATTACAGCATTATTTCGAATTGTGGCGACTCGTCGATTGAGTCGGAGCTTGAAGGTACATTACAATGGGAGCGGCAGCAACAGCTTGAGCTCAATTCTAGCGACAAAAATGAACGGAAGGAACGAAGTAAGAAGTGGAAGAATACGAACGAGATAGAGAATGCGGACGATGATCTGGAAGGTGCTATTGAGAAGCTGAAAGAGAAGAGAGACACAACAAAGATCACAGCGCTCGAGAAAATTCTTGCTATGTTACGTGTTGAAGTTTTAAGCGACCGCATTCAGAAGATAAAGGTGACTTTAGCCCCGCAAATACTCGGTTGTCTGAAAAGGCGAGCGAAAGAGTCGAGCATCTTGGCACTTCGAGTGCTTAGTATGGTTGCGATTACGCTCGGTGCAAATGAACAGAAGCTTTATGATGATTTGTTGCAGCCTGTGCAAACAATTTTCACCGATAGAGATGATGATGCAATGCGTATAGAAGCAGTGTATGCTTTAAGTATTGCCTGCTTTGTGAGTTGTTCGGACGATGAGTCCAAGTGGGAGTTACTAGAGGTACTGGGCAAGTTTTTGGTGGCAGCGAATGATGCTGAAGAAGATGGTTATGATGGAAATGAGTTTTCAGAGACGCTTATTGTTGCGGTAATTAAGTGTTGGGCCTTTCTTGTCAGTAGCTTTCAGCCTTCAGTCATTGTTGGTAAAGTTTATAATGCGCAGTCCATTGTTTATGGTCACGTAGCTGCATTAGCTGACTTTGTTCGAAATGGAAGAAATATCTCTGTCCGATTGCCTGCGAGTGAGGCCTTGGCACTTATCGTGCAGTTTAAATACACTACTGCAGTCAGCTGGACCTACTCGAACGAACCAGCAAATAGTGTCATCAGCGGTCTTGATACACGCATTGAGATGTTAATGCAAGAGTCGGCAAAAAAGATTGGCAAAAAGAATCGAAAGTCTCAGCGTTCCGTTTTGAAAGACGTTTTGGAAACGCTGTATACGGGAAACGGACCTTTTACGGAGCTGCAAGATAGAAATGAAACTCTCACGATATCAACATGGAGTCGCTTTTTCCAAGCGCACGTATTCTGTCGTGTGCTTGAGTCAGGCTTTCAGACTCATCTTGTGAAAAATGAAGTTTTGCGCGACATTTTTGAGATAAAAGCGCACGGAAATGCTAAACTTGGGTTGGTGTCTACTGTGGAACGTCGTGCGGGCCTCAAGGCGAAGTCAGTGCACAAACGCAATGACATATCCCGCAAAGACCAAGCACAGAATGCATTTTTGTTTGACCAGTAGCAGCAATGCTGGCTGTTTTTATTAATTTGTTCGAAAAATTAAGCCCAGATTTCGAAAACTAAATATAAATATTTTGATCTTTAAGAAGCTGGCTTTCTATTTGGAAGAAATCAGAGCTTGTCCCACCCTTCTTCACAGGAACTGACCAACCCAAGTATAAAGAAGTATTCTGAAAACATGACCTGCTTTGCAGCAGCCCTCCTCACCTTATTAATGTCATCAATTCAATCTAAGACATGTGGCCTTTAACGTGGAATGCAAGCATGATATAGCAGGAGATCAACAAAAAGGTCGGCAATAATCGAGTGAGGAATCACTTACAAGCGATTGATTACAATTTTGTTTTTGATGATATAAATGCTATGTGCTTCTTGCTTTTCAAATTGATGTCAACGCTCATGAGCACCCATCAATCTTTTTTGAAAATTAAAAGTGCACGTTATATGGTTTTATGACGGCATCACGTTATCATTTTCAAAGTTATATTGAAAGCTTCAAATTTACGGACGATCATATGCTCATTGACAATTTATCTTTGAACATAAAAACGAGAGCATCCTGAGTTTGTGCGTGAGCAATTGCGCACGTACCCATTTGTAGCGCCCACCACGGCCAACGGTAAGGTTAAGCTCGGAACATCCTTGTCAACTGCAACTTCAAAAACGCATCTTCCCCACTCTGCATGTTTTACACCCCAGAATTTCAAGACGTCCTAGAACATGACTTCGTGGTACCGGGAGGTACCTGGTTCTATACCGAAGCAAAGAGACCAAAAATAGTCTCTAGAGTGGGCCAGTAATATAACCCTGTGGTGTGAACGCCCTGTCGACATGGGTTGGGCTGGAGGAGGCTCAAAAAATTTAAACTGTTATGATGGGTACGGAACCTGTAGCGGGGCTGCCGTAGCTCCTTGCTTAGAGGAAGCTGAGCTAAGGTCACCGACCTTACGTTCTTTCCAAGTGCCAGCACGAGGGTAGCGGATCGTAATCCGCCACCTCTAAGTACTAAAACCCTCAATCAGGGCAAAGGAACACATCTCTTCAAAATTAAAACTGTATTTTGCTGTTGTAGTTGCGGTAGAGCCGCGCTCCGAGGTTTCTTTAATTAATAAAGTAAAACCTAATTAATATAGTAGAAGCTGATTAATATAGTAATATGCATTACTACTGGCATTCCTGCCACGTGGTGGCTTATTGTTCCGGTGTGGTCACACCACTGTGTGATAACTCTAATCTGTGTAATACAGACCTATGTACGTTCGCACAATCTTGTGCGAGTCCCTCATTCATACAAGAGTACATGTAAACCCTTTACACACTCTCCCATTAAAATTGTAAATATCCCCAGTTCACATTTAACGGTCGCCTCATTCGAGGCTCGCGTATCTGAGACACCTAAATGCGCGTTAGGAACAAATCAAACACTCTCCGCTCAATGAGCCCTGTCTCTATGACATCCAAAAACCTAGCCTAGCTGGTAGAGAGGGCACCATCAGGGTGCATCTCCGAGCAGTATGTCCGCTGCTTCACGGGAAGCACATCCCAAGCCCTCGGCAACTGAGCGCAACACACCGTGCATGCCTGGCAACGGATTTTCTCGTCTAGGAGTTGGTGTAAGTCGACTGGAAGTCGGAAACTCCTTTCCCAGCATGGGATGACGAGGAAGTTGGAGTGCGCCAACGGCGCGAAGTGAGCCCATCTCAAACCTTGCGGACACCATGTCCGTACACCATGTCCGTTCCTCGACCTCTTGGCTTCCGGATGTGTGTGGTATAATTACCAATCGTCTCGACGAGGAACAGGCGCAGCAATTAGAGACGGCTTTCCTGCGCTCGTATCCACGTTCGATCTTAGACTCTCGTGTGGATAACGGCTTCCGCTCGGCTGATCCCGCTGCTGAATCGAAAGACGCGGTCAATCATTCGTTAGGCGTTCACGTAGTCGGGCCACACAAGCTTAGCTTGATCAGCGGAAAGCTCATCAAGCTCGCTTTTTGAAGCAACAAAAGATCTCATATCGGTACCGCGCTCGACTCCGAGCTCAAAAAGAATGTGCTACTGTTCCCACTATGCGGATCATCCCTGTGGTGCTCGCCCCTGGCGAAACCGCTGCAGATTATGCTGAGCTCTTTGAGTGATGGGTGCAGCAGCACCGGAAACTTTCTTCACTGTCTCTCTTACAGCGAAACCACAAGGACGCGCTGAACGCCATCTTAGATTTGAGTTTGCCAAAACTCAAGTCGACCTTTATGAAGGGGTCCCTTATTCTTGAACTCACGCTCGCGCGTGGCCTTCAGAGCGATTTCATTACTTTCCTTGCGGA